TGCAAAAGGAAGCCCAGTGTAGTTCAACCACTGAAATGGTTCAAAAATCCTGAAGGAATGCTAATGGTATTTTGGACACGATCCAATATATAGGAACCAAACACCCACTGGAAAACCTGAATTACCGAATGTCAGTTCATCCAGTAGAACTGAATATTGTTAGATTCTTGTTAGATTGATGTTTTCCTAAACATAATACAGTATCTATATGCAATCCTGTAGTATTTTTTGACTGCAGATTTCTCATTTGTCCAGTCTGAACACAGTGACAGTCATGAACTGCTTTACACGCCCAGCAGTGTAAATACTGAATGAGCATTTTCAGACTGTTGGTTAACTAGGCCCTTATTTTAACATTTACATTTACGCATTTTGCAGTTGCTGTTATCTGAAAGCAACATGAGAAATTCATCAAAGAGCCAACAATATTCAGTAAGTTTTAAATAAATTCATAAACTAGACCAACACATAATCATAGATGCAAGCCTTGTAGTAATAATAATAATAATAACTAATAATACAAATAATGAATTGTGCAATTTTTATATTTAATATTCATTATTAACTTATATTAAATATATATTTATATTTCATTAAATTAAATTGCTAAATGAAATAGTACTCTTTATTACATATTGTATTATTTGTCAAATAAAACATTAAAAATACATATTAAAATATATTACATATTTTACATATAAAATTATATATGAAATAATAAATATTACAACCATTATTAACATTAATATTTAACTAAGAATAATAAATAATAGCAATAATAACTTGAATTATATGGTATTAATATTACAGATTTGATTATTTGTCAAATAAAACAAAATTCTTATTCAAATAGAAGTATTACACAGAAATTATTAACGTTTTATTCAATTAATAATAATGTACTAACTACTACTAATAATAATAAATAATAAAATACATGTCACATTTATATATTAATATGTTTTGTCGTTTTATTAAATATTTACATTATTGTAATTGTTTTAATATAACATAACACATGGTAAATAATAGAAGCATTACGCAAAGATTGATGTCATTATTATGATCATCCAACACGCATATATTTGGATGTTGTTAAATTGAATATAAGGCGAGCATACCTTGTGTTGCAGGCACATGTAACTCAAGCACAGATCAGAGGCTGTTATTAGATCTCAAACCACATAAACGAGGAGAAGAATCCCTATAATCAGAGCAATTCCTGCTGATAAAGCCACATCCACATCCGAGTGCTGTCTTTGATGAATAAGCAGCTATTCCTCTGTCTGCTCTCCACAGACACGCGCCCCACGCCAGCCAGCGCGTCTCCGCGTCACGCAAGATCCCGGTTGAACGCGACTGCGGCTCCGCGCCACGCGTGACAGCGATAAAGACCAGGCGGCACTCACCTCTGTCCAAAGACGCGAATGTGATTTCCCGAGCAGACTCTCCCTCTCTCTGTCACGCATTCAGCGTCTCTCCGCGCTCATTTGCTCCAGTCTTCTCCGGTCCGTCGGTCTGTCTCACTGCTGCTGTAGAGACACACACAAACCTGCTGCGTGAAGCGCCGCCCACGGGCGAGCCCAGTGGTCATTAGTTCCCCACGCAGCGCTGCGCTCACGAGACGCGTCACCTGCGCCAACGGAGGAGGAACATGCAATATTAAAGACACCACATGCCTGATATCTCATCATACAACTCTAGATATCTGGCTTAGAAATAACAGGGATGTGGCCTAGACAGACAGACAGACAGAGAGATGGAGAGAGAGAGACAAACAGACAGACAGAGAGATGGAGAGAGAGAGAGAGAGAGAGAGA